TTCCCTTCCCTTCCCTCTATAAGGCGTCTTGATTCAATACATGGACCATGACCTGGGAAGACCTGGGTGCTGTTCACAGTCCTCCCCAGACATATCTCCTTGAGCAAGTTGCTGCTTCTTTCTGTGTCCCTACTCCCCAGTGTCATTTATTTAGATGAGCTCCTTCAGATAGGGTCTGTGGTTTATTCTGTATGTACTGCACCTAGTGCGATGGGGCTCCATCTCAGCTGAGTTGTCGGTGTTTCTGTCCTACAAATAATATGCGTCTCTCCAGATATAGATATTGTTTTCTGCATTTGCATTCCCACAGTCTCCTCCTTCTCTTACAGAAGGAAGCAGGCCAGATTTGACAGCCATATTTATCTCTGTTACTCCCACACCTCAAGGGAGATCTGTTTATTAATGTGCCACTTCCCTTGATAAATTACTAAATAGAAAGAAAAGCCTTGTACTCATTTCTCGCTGTTCCTTCCCATGATTTATGTCCACAGTGCTGGTTCAGCCATTGGTCACCATTAATTTGCAGAGGGAAGAAGTCTTGATGTCCAACAGAAACCTGGGCTTTTGCGGTGCATCCAATGTGGGCACTCCTCCCCATTGCACACAGGTACGTCATTTTTTCCCCGTGTAAAACTCTGCTGGAAGCTGTCAGATTTGCAAGCTGGCCTGGGACTTCTCCAGCCCAAAACCAGTAATATGCATTGTGTTACTGTCTGCTCTGATTTAGATCTTGCGAGTACCGTGGGCTATCTGAAATGTTTGATAGCAGATCCAATAGGTTGGGCTGATGCTCTACATAAAAGCCTCTTAGGTCTTGTGGGCTTCCAGGGAAAGCTGTGACCCAAAATCATGCTATGGATGAACAATTCCTCTCTTCTCAAAGACAGCCCGCTCAAGGTGCTCGGGAAGGGAAAAAGAGTTTAACCACATGAAGAAGTGCTCGCTAGTACATTTTGGAAGAGGGAATCTTTTCAAAATTATTATTCAAAAGCAGATTAGCAGCACCAGGATCATTCTTAATAATAAAATTGGCCTGACCTAATCCCCTGATCTGAGGACACTGAGCACAAATGTTAAATGATACCAGGCAGCAGCAAAGATAAGCATTAGAGTAGCTGTACACATAGGCGAGGTGTTCAGTACGGGCTGGCTGACAGCCACTTGAATACGTAAGCAAAATCCTCTGTTGCCTGAGGTCCAGCGATGTTTCAAAGGAAAAACCACATACAACTTCTTCAGCAGTGACTGTGCCCAGAGAAGTAAATGAAGGAGGGATACATTTTTCAGACACAGAGACGGAGAGCCTCGGGAGGATTTATCACTAGCACTCCTCCTCTCATCTCCCCTTCAAAAATGCTGACTTATCAAAATGAACAGGGTTAGTTTTAAGATTTTTTTGATGTTTGGAAAATATGTTAGGGGAAGAGTTTCCAAACTGTCAGGGTACCCCCTTCAACGCTCTTGACAAAAAAAAAAAATCTGGTATTTTTATGTTGTTGTTCTTCTAAAAGATGCTTTGTTGAGAAACATAAAGTCTTCATAGGTTAAAATGAATTTGAAAAGGTCACAAATTGAAATAAAAATAGGAAATTATTTTAAAATTAATTCCACTCATCTGCCAGAGTTTCAATTTTAAAAATTAATTTCTCTGTGGCCCTCTACCTCAGATGGAGACCTTTTTCACCTTCAGTTTCTTTCCCTTGAATACTTCTGAGAGATGGGAAAACTCTTTCTCACCCAGATCTGGAAAGGAGTGATGGGCCAAAGCCCACAAGCAAAACAAGAAACCAGGTAGGTCCATGAGGTACTCTGTATCGTTACCTCCTCTGGTGTTCAATAATATTTCCAGCCAAATACATTTACAGTAAGCCCAGGATGGGGGTTCTTTGGTGGTGGCTCTTCCCCTATCAATTTGCTCTGCTACTTCTACCTCTCATCTTGAATAAACACCTATAAAAACCAGCAGATGCTGTTCATTGACTGCCATGGACTTTGGAACATGGAATAAATATTAATTTAAAAGCTGACCTAGAGACAACCCTGTTTGAGCTATCTCAACTTTACTTTCAAACTAATTCCTTCCCACTTGGAAAATATGCTATGTCCATGTGCTCATTTTTTGGACATACTAGCAGCCTGGGTTTTATTTATCCAGTGTATATTAAAATAATCAGCTCTGAATGGAAGAAACTTGATTTACTTTTTGGTTTTGCAAAAGATAAAGATACCTCCTTAAAATTCCAAACTCTTTCAGATTTCAAGCAACAACAAAAATATCCTTTGGGCTGAAGTAAGACATGGGAAATTTTAAGCCAAAAGACTGTCCCCGTCTCCCTACACTCTCAGAGTTAGGAGGAGATTAAAACGGAGATGTGAGGTGGTGAATGGAAGCTCTGGGCATTGGCGATAGTGGATGGCAGTCCATGAAGGTCAATAAAAAATTAACCATAGGCTTTTGCCCCCTGCTGCCTCTTCTCACAGAAAGGCAATTCCAGATACATTTTATTGTGTTTTAACTGGA